TAAGTATCATTGGCCATGCTCTCATCTTTTGACGGCGGCGTCGTCAAGAAATATACATGTGTCTGATGGGACAACCGTGAGGATGCATGAGTTCGATCTTGAAGCTACTAGGTTGACATGGGCCCCTAGATTCCAACCCTTCCTAGACCCATCGCAGTGGCCCGACTATAATGGCCCGGAGCTTAGGCCCGATCCTTTGCTGAAGGTTGAGCCCAAGGGTAGAATCAGACAGAAACGGTTGAGAGGCGATATGGACAACCTAGCTGGATACACTGGCATGAACCAATTTGGTAGCGGGCACTTTATGGAGCCTCCAGACACTAACAACTGTGGTCAATGTGACAATCCAGGACACAATGTGAGAACATGCTCTAAGAAAAGGAAAACATCAAAGAAGGGCAATCCAACCACGAGTCAGGCAGGTGGTGGCAGAGGGGGTTCCGGTGGTCGTAGAGGAGGGGGTTCCGGTGGTCGTAGAGGTGGTTCCGATGCTGCTAGAGGCCCTAGAGGAGGTGCTAGGAGTGGACAACGTGGTAGAGGTGGCGCTAATGGAGGCCCTAGAGGGGGTAGTAGTGGTGCTCGTAGAGGTGGTTCCGGTGGTGGTACAAGAGTAAGGAGGACTGATAACGGGTCGGCGTTTGGTTATTTGCATAATCCAAATGGTTGACCAATTTTGAATGGTAAATATTTGTTCATTCTTTTCTTGTTTTCTTGTATTGTGTTTTTTTTGCATTAAGTTTGTTCATGTAATTTTCTAACAATTCTTCTTCTCATAGGCATGGCTTCATCCGATTCCACGACGAGGCCACGGTGCGTTGACCAAGAGGACATGCCGAGCAAGTGGGAGGAGGCAAGGTTGGACAAGACAAAGGAGAAGGATGTGAAAACTCCTTCATGTTGGTGTGCAGATGAGTGCAAGGTGAAGGTCTCCACTGACCGGAAGAAGTCCTGGATGGAAGGAAGAAGATATTTTGTGTGTCCCAACTATGCACATGATCGCGCGCGTCCCACTAACGCCTATGACATCCCACCGGTATGTTAGAAAAGTAGGCTATTCTCCATTATGATCCATTTTATATTACTAACAAAAACTTGTTTTGTGTGTAGTCACCTCCTCCTCTTTGCAAGTACTTCACATGGATAGATCATGAAGTGCCAGAAGATGTCCAAAAAGACCAACTTCAAGATTGCCTTAGGAGACAGCGACGGTTTGAAGAATCCTTACAGAGAGCCGAGGACGAGGAACGTCGTGAGAGGGAGAGGAAGGAGCGGAAGAAGCGTGAGGAGGAGAGGGCGCGCAAAGAGAAGGCAGCTCGTCAAGACGAGAGGGCAAGAAAGCTTGCAAGGGCTCGCGATGCACAAGAGGAGGATGAGGCACGCGACAAGAAGGGGAAATGGCCGCGTGTGACCCAATAATTTAGTTGAATGTGCTATTTGAGGATTGTATCATGAATTTGTGATGAACTATGTCATGGACCTATTATGCTATTTGATCGAAACTATGTAATGAACCTAAGTTATGCTATTTGATGGGAACTTTCTTATTAGTTGTCCATGTGGTGAATTGTGCAACAAAATTGTCATATATCATACGCCAGAAATGCTTTGTTCTGCCCAGATGCTAGAAATGCTCTGTTCTGCCAAGATGCCAGAAACCACAGCGTTTAGGCCCTTACCAGAGAGGAAAATGTGTGGTTGCTCCTCTGCACACCTAGACGCCAGAGATCACGGCGTCTTCACCTCTGCCCCAGACGCCAGAGACCATGGCGTTTAGGCCATAACCAGAGAGGTAATTCTGTGGTTGCTCCTCTGCCCACCTAGACGCCAGGAATCAAGGCGTTTAGGCCCTAACCAGAGAGGAAAATGTGCGGTTGCCCCTCTGCCCACCTAGACGCCAAGGTCGGTGGCGTTTTGGTCCTTTTGCAGATTATAAGGCCTTGTGGGCCCACTCCATAACTCATTCTTCAACCTCACAACCTCACAACCCCGAGCTGCTGCCCCCCACGCTCTCTCCCCCCAACCAAACCCCCCCTCAAATCTCTCATAAATCGGTCCCATTTAACCGTTGGATCGAAGTCATTTACTACCATTGAGGTAAATCCAATACACCCCCATGATTTGTTTGGTTCAATCCATCACATTTAGTGGATTATTTCAAACCCTAGATTTTCCTTTTTTTCAAATCCTTTGCAAAAAAAGGATACATATGTAGTGTTTTATACGGTGTTAGGAAGCTTTAGCCTAATGAATTTAGTTGGTGTAGTATGCATGCTCCTAGTGTTATGCTTACGATTTGGGTTAGGATTAGGATTAGGATTACCCTAGTTGTTATGCTTATGATTAGTGATAGAGTTACATACTTCTTTATAGAGTTGTATTTTAATGTTAGGTCACTCTTGTAGGAATGGCACTTAATAATGATGCAAAGATGGTTTTCATTGAGAAATATATGGATGCAGCGGATGAAAAGAACCGCGAACTCATTAAAGAAAAGATGACTCTGTGGGTGAATAGTTGCGATGCAAGGAATGAAGCTGCGAGGAACTCTGCACGGTTATATTTTTCTGATGACTCAGATAATGTCATCGCTGAAACGCAAAATAATTTTGCCGAGATGGAAAGGGCTGAACTTGATTGTAGAAGTGATCTAGGTAGGCAAATAGCATTTTATGCAACTATGCTAGAATATCGTCAAATGGACTTGAATAGGCCTGGACAGATCATTGACTGGGCAATCAATGAAGCTATGTCCCCGATACCGACCCAGGCTGCTCGTTGGGATTGGGTTCTTGAAATACCGGGTGTCATCTATTGCAACCCTGGACCAAACAATGACATCCAGTTGGAACATATCCCGCTAGATTATGAGCCCGACTTATCGCTGCTATATATCGACCCAAGCTCCTCGATGCTACCTACCGACCCAAGTTCCTCGGTGCAAGATGGGGCCAATGCAAGCAAGAAGAAGAAAAAGAATGATTCACAGAAGAAAAATAAGAAAGAGAATTCACGCAAGAAGAACTCGAGGGGTTGAACTATGTGATGTTCTATGTCATGGAACTAAGTGATGTTGTATGTCATTTGAACTATGTTCGTTAAAGTTTGTACTGTGTATGTCAGTTGAACTATGTAATGCTTATGTCGTGGATCTAAGTTATGTTATATGTCACGAATTTGAGACCGTTTATTTATGAGTTTCCAAAAAGTTTGTTCTAATTTGGGATTTGTTGTGGATCTAAGTTTTGGCCATATCCAGAAAGGTGGAATTGCCGTGGCTCATCTGCATACCAGGACGCCAAGGTTCCTGGCGTCTAGGGGCAAAACGCTAGAGACCATGGCGTCTAGCCTGTACAGAAACTTCAACATAACAGCAAAACGTAAGGATGACAACAACACTAAGCATAACAGCAAAAATGACAGCAAAACTAAGCAATATTTTCAGGATGACAGCAATAAGGTATCATAGTTCACGCCATCATAGCAACACAACAACATGAAGGTAGCAAAGTGCACTCCATAAGTGCAAATTAAACACAAGTCCAGGTAGCAAAGTTCACGAATCAAACATAACAAAGTTCACGAATCAAACATAACAAAGTTCGCGAGAATCTAGTATTAACTAATTCACTTCTTCCTTCCTCTTTTGCTGCGCGGCGTGCGTTGTGTGGGCTGTGATGGCTCAGGCGCATCATCCATTTGGGACATCCCTAGCACCTCCTCTTCGTCTTGATTGTACTCCTCTTCATCTTGCTGCGCCTCCTCTTGCTCTGGCTCTTCTTGCAGTTGCTCCTCTTGTTGTTCCTGTTGCAAGACAAGACGACGACGACGTCTATTGTCCCGGCTAGTAGAAGCTCCAGCCGTGAGGACGGCTTTACTTCCATGGCAAGAGAGCATAGCTGCTATCTTGTGGAATCGACTCACGAAACTCTACAACATAACAAAGATGCAATACTAGAGTAAGTCAAAAGTGTGCAAAGATGGAGATTTTTGAATAGAGGTAACATATACCTTCATTGTTTTCCTAAGAGATTTCTCAGATGATCCACTTCCCTCATCTTCACCAAGTGCTACACCAGCCTCGTTAACACAATGCAATAACTCCATGCCCTGCAAAATGAAGATCACGAAAATTATCTTTGAAGTACATTTAAATGCATTCGAAGTAGGTTCTAATTGTGTGGAGCATACCACTCGGTCGTGTAGTTGTGCATAGTCAAGTTGTGTCCCTTCGTTGTCTCTCGTTTGTACATTGAAGTCCATATACCCGCTCTCACGATCCAACTCTTCCAATTCCGAACGGTTCCAACCGGGCTTTAGCTTCAACCGGTAACGTCTCGCAAGCCACTTCAGATGCTCTTCATATACTGAATCACTATGTTGTCTTCTTTCCTTCTCCACTAGGGCCACTCTTTGATTCCACAGACTTATCCACTCGGAGTGCTTGATGGCCCAAGTCGAAGTTTCCGGGTTATTCTTTCGACTAATTCTGCAAATTATGTACAAGATGAAAGCATTAGCAAGAAATGTATTTCATAATGCTCTACTATATATCCAAAGCTACAACTATCTCACCGATGCAGAAATTGGCTTGTCTCGAAACTCTCATCCCTTGGTGTCCCTTGCCTTCTCCCAAATTGTCTTGCGACACGGTATGGGTAGTGCCACTCGACAGCATAGAAGCATATCAGTGGGCATCTCGCTCGCCAAATATTCCTGTCACGTGTGCACATCTCGTTCAGCCGGAAAGCATAATCGACATCATATGGTTCCCAATCGACCTACAACACAAGATGATACTAGTTAAGTACACGGTTCCATCACAATTGATGTGCTCTTACGTAAGTTATCATTACCTGCTTATGAGTCAACATATCTAGCTTGTTGATGTAGCATTTGTATCGCGCAACCGAGCTGCCTGTGTACACATTCGCCATCTCCCAACAGTAGGCGACGGTCGGAAACCGCCAAGGATCTTCTCCATACCTCCCGTCATGTGCGACTCATCCTTCAGGAGGTGTCTTGTTTTTCTCGGGGCGTCCAACGGGCATCCGCTCCCACATCCAAACCTGAAGGCACCAAACAAAGCCACCCATACCAGATGTGCCCTTCTTCCTACGACATGCCTCGTCGAGCTGCAAATTCAGAAATTGTTGATAAGAGGTCCGCGAAATTGCAAATGCAAACAAATTGACAATTTGGTTACTAATTACCTGACGATATAAGTATGCTAGTGCTCCTGAACCCCAACTGTACTTACGGTCCCAGTCACTTAGTAGGTCCAAGAATATCCACTGGGCTTTATTGCCGGTAGAATCTGGAAACACTACCCTCGTTAACAGATACCACAGATATGCTCGGGCGTGCTGCTGCACAACAACCTCATTGGCGTCCGGAGGGCATACTACTCCTCTCTCCCCTCGGAGCCAATGATGCAACACTTTCTCACTGTCACGCTCGCCTTCTTCAGGAGGCTCGGGGAAAACACCTGTCAATTGGCCAACACGATCTCGCCAATTAGCACTTACGGTGGTGCCGGTCAAAGATTCTCCATTGATTGGAAGGCCACTGATCATCGCCATGTCCTCCAAGGTCACGGTCATCTCTCCACATGACAAGTGCAACGAGTGTGTCTCTGGCCTCCAACGGTCAATAAGTGCGGTCATCGCCCCATGGTTGATCGACGGAGCGTGTCGCTTGAACTGAAGCACGAACGGGAGAAGGCCCAATCTCTCGAAGTATGGCTCATACCGCTCGTCGCACGGCCAGTCGTGGGCACTATGACCCCTCATGCGCATAGGTGTTAGTTCCTGCAAAATAGCATTGCATTATGGTTAGTGCCTAGCAAAACTGACAAGTAATAACCAAGAATTCAAATAGATTGAGTCTTACCCCGTTATTCTCAATGTCCCGCGCACGATGGTCTTTGTCGTACCCTTTATGAAGACCGTCGTACCACCGTTCCCCCGCCATCCTACAAATCAAGCATGAACAAATGAAACATACATAACACTATATAACATCCTACATATCATATTTTTGGCATAACAATATCAACATAAATGCATATCTCAATGGCAACATAACAAAACCTGTTTATCTATATATGACAAAATCTGAATGCACGGGGCAACATATCTCAATGTCAAGATAACAAGACCAATTATCTATATATGACAAAATTTCAATGGCAACACAACATAACAAAGTCTCAATATAACATCCTAATTATATGACCATATCTCTATAAGAATCAAGCATACAAAATACACAAATATGTTAGAATTATATTTCAAGCAATCATCTATCTAAATCCATATACATAGCAACTAAAATTAAAATGCCCAACCCTATCACCAATGCCTTCTCTTCCCAATCCTACCATATAAACACATGCCAACTCTTCTAAAGTATACAACATACCTACATGACCAAGCCATGGGCTCCCCTTTCTCAAAAAAGTGCAAAGAATACTAATCCTAGGGTTCTAACAAGCATGAACAAGTATGAATTAATGCTGCCAAAATACAAGTTTTGAACCCAAAATAATCGGAGGATCTGGTGGAGAATACCTCAAGGAAGATGGGGAGGCTCAGATCCACACTTTTGATGAAGAAAATAAGCGATTTGGGGTTGATTTGGGTTAGGGAAGGAGAGAAGCGGAGCTTCTATAGCCGCCGCCGCGAGGAGGAAGACGCCTCGAGCGTCTGGATGGGTTGGGCTGCACCCGAGCCGGCTCGGGCCGGTTTTCTGCTCTCCAGGGGTAAACGCCAAGACCCATGGCGTTTAGCCCTTTGCCACGTCGGACGGTCAAACTGGCTGACCAGGGAGGTGGGCCAGTGCCAAACGCCAGGGTCCGCGGCGCAATCAAAACGTCGCGAATGTTGGCGTCTCGGTTTGGGTCAGATACGAAAAAAGTTTTAAAAGCGGGTTAAATCATGCTAAAGTTTGCCACATGGGTCAAAACGGTGAAAAAACCCTCCGCTGCTGCTTGCTGGGACTCCCGCTCCCTCGGTGCGATGGCGCTGCCGATATCGGGCAACTGATTTTTATTGGAACGGAAATGTAAGACCTCGACAAGATGCGCATTTGAGGGCGGGTCGGCGTGCCATCTGAGGAGGGCGGCACGTACCCGTGTCACCCGCGGAGCGCCGATGCACACGTAACCAACAAAATCTCTGGCACTCCGCGAAAAGGGGAAAAGTTCAAGCACTAAAACCACTGTTTGGGGAGTTTGCACCCTTTGATTCAGGATTCTACGCAAAACTAGGAAAACTTGTAGGATTAGAATGTCATGCCCATTTAAATTCTAGTATATATTATGTCACGAGAAAAATACAATGAATTTCTTTCAAAGGCTTTGAGTTGATGATAATTTTTCTTTGAAATATAGTGCAAATCAATTAGTAAGAAAAAAAATCTATAAGATTAACTTGTCAGACCAACAGTAGAATATATTCCTAAGGATCACTTATTTTTTGCGAGGGATATTCCTAAGGATTACAATCCTTCAAATTTTCTATGATTTATTTTTAAATCACAAAAACCCGTAACATACTGCACAATCTTTTTTTAGTTGCATTTCTGCATAATCTTGACAAATGCAATTACAATCGGAAAACACAACCTTTCAGCCGGCGGATGCAAGCGCACCGTCCGCCACTGACTTAGCCGTCAGATCAATCCTGATCAAGCGCTCACGCTGGCCACAAGTCAGTCCTACAGCCAGTTCTTTTCCTGTAACAAGGGTCTTGTTTCAGTAAATTTCTGCAACACAAGACTTGTTTTAGGGGTCTTGTTTCAAAATGTTTCTGCAATACTCTTGTTTCACAAAGATTAAAAATTGTTTGATGATGAAGGTTTTTTTCGCAAAAAGGGTCTTGTAGAAACATAGTCTGAGTTGCAGAAAGCGTCGGAGTAGCGCCTCACGTTAGAGAGTGAGTGGTCAGACTTTGTAACATGAGGCATGTTTCAAAAACATCGCTCTAATTGCAGAAAATACCGCAGGAGTGCCCGACGTGAGAGGTCGCCGTCGTGCTGGAGTGGAGCTGGCAGCTGCTCGCGGGGCTGAGGCAGAGGAGGAGAAGCAACTCCAGCGAGCGGCGGCGCCTAGGCGCGTGGCGTGCTGCCTCGGCGGACCTTTGCAACAAGGTCCTTGTTGCAAACACCCTAAGCGCAACAAGGTAGCTGTTGCAAAGGTCCTCGACTGGCTGGGACGATAGATCGGACGACCATTGTTATAAATGTTTCTGCAACATTGCTCTTGTTGCAAGGGAGGCCACACACGTCGATGAGTAGATCGGACCGCGTCCATCCAACGACTAGTTAGGCGGCGGATGTTTTCTCTTTGTCCACCGGTCGACGCGTAGCGCGTCTCACAATCGAAAAACATTACAATCCTTCAAAATTTCAATGATTTTCCCCTAACATTCTGCATAATCTTTTTTTTTTAGAATCACCGGGAGGGGAGGGGGGGGGGAGCTCCCCCATTTGAATATATTGCTCAAAGGGCTGCCGTGACAGTAAGTACAAAATTATATAGACACGGTGTAACGTGCAGAGAGGTAGGAGCGCCACGAGAAGGCGTCTTCCTTGTCTTGTGAATGCACAAGACAATGAGACCAGAGATCCAAAAACAGTAATAAGGTTCCTAAGGGTCATTACGTGCTGCCCAAATCATCCATAGTAAAGCCAGGAGAACCGAAGGCCAAGCCGTGGTCGGGAGGCGAGGACACATGCAAAAATTATTTTCCTTTCCTTGGTTCCAAATATAGGAGTGATAGTCGCACAAAAGAGAACCAGGATTGAATTTCAGTATCACTATCATCTGGAGGAGGAGGCACCTCTCCATCTCTTTACCATCTGCAGCAGGATCTCGTTCCACGTGTCGATGGGGCCGGGGAGGCACGAGTGCACGCAGTCGTTCGGCACCCGCTCCCTCTTCTTCTCGCCGCCGGCGCCGGCGAACGGGAAGGGATGGAAGTACGGGCCGGGGTGAGCGTCCGGGCGCATATCCGCGAGCCTCGTCACCTGCAGAGCCTCCACCGTCACCGCGGACCCGCGCGACCTGGCCTCGACGGCAGCCGCGGTGGCCTCCTCCGCGCCCGTCCGCCACATCTCTTTGTGCATGTACGACATCTCCTTCTCTCCCGGAGCGTACGGCTCCGTGCGCGCGCACGCGTCCGGGCTGTCCCACTCCCCGTCGAAGTGCGCCGGCGAGAACGTAGTCAGCACAGCCAGCCTCTCCCGGCCGGCGCTGGAGCGGGCGATGACATCGCGGAGGGCGTTCTTGACGGCGAGGCGGAAAACGCCGAAGAAGCCCGTCTCCGTGCGGTTCGGCTCCGGGCAGTGGTGGCACCCAATCACAGCACCGCGCTCGTAGTACATCGCCGACTGCAGGAACCACTGCCCGAAGGAGAGCACCACCACGTCGATGCCCGGGAGCTCCGCCGCCCACCGCTCGTCGGGCTGGTCGAAGTACAGCCTGTTGTAGCCAAGCCCACCCGGCGCCCACGACTTCTCCGTGCCCTTCACCAGGAACGGCGACCAGAACACCGACACCGTCGCGTTGTGCGACCGGAACGCCCACTGCCGGAACTTGCGCTCCTCGCCGCCGTCAAGGACCAGCTCGACGGGGTACTCCGACCCGAGGAGGCACACCAGCGACTCGCACTGGTTCCGCGCGAGCGAGTCGCCTACGAACGCGACGTGCCGGCCGCGCACCAGCTCCAGGAACTCAGCGGGCGCGAACGGCGGGAGCGCGCACCCGCGCGGCCGCCACCGCCAGTTCAGGTACCCCGTGTCCGGCCGGCCGTTCACGATGCAGTTCTGCTCGTGCTTGATCGTCGCGCCGCAGCTCGTCCCGGTGTACCGCGGCCCCGCCGCGTTCGGAATCCATTCCCCCTCCGAGTAGTCGCACTGCGGCGCCGGTTTCGACCCCTGGGTTCCTGGCGGCGCCCCTGTAGCGGTCTTCACCACCTGCTGCCTCTCACCTGCAAACCATTGTTAGACTATGTATAGCTTCTGTACCCATGTACGTATTGTAACAGAATCATTATATATAATGAGATAAGCCATCCCTAGAGGGTTGTGCTGGTTCCCAAAACTTATTGTCTTACATGGTATCACGCTAGGTTACGATCGCTTCCGCTTCTAAACCCTAATACCCGCACCGCCGCCGCCGCCGCCGCCGCCTTCACCGCCGCCGCCGCGCCACCGATCGCGCCGCCGCCATGTCGAGCGCCGCCACCACCGGTTCCACTGCTGCAGGCTTCCTCCCGGCCTCTCTTGCGGCTCTGCTCAACCTCCCGCTCGATGCCGTCTCCGTTCCCGCTCCGATCGGGACAAGGAGCATCGGCTCCGTCTTCTCCACGCCGCCGGCGCCCTCGCTCGGGCGTGATCTCGTGGTCCACACCGCGGCGCCGCCGTCCGCTGCGGACTCCGCAGGCGTCGTCCCGCCGCTCCTGCCGCAAGCGGATCACACCGCCCCGCTGGCGGGGTTGGCGGCGTCCGCCCCGGCTGCGGGCCTTGCGGCGTCCGCACCGGCCGTGAGCTTTGCGGCGCCCGCCCTGGCTGCGGTCCCGCCTCCTCCCGCATCGGCTTCGGTGCCTCCGGCTGCCTCCATGGTGTTTGCACCCCACGCAGCCTCCTCGATGGGATCGTCTTCGCCGCCGCCGTTTCACTTCGGTCATCTCATCACCATCAAGCTCTCCGCCGACAACTACATCTTCTGGCGTGCGCAGGTTCTCCCGCTCTTGGGGAGTCACTACCTGCTAGGCTACGTCGACGGATCGCTTCCCTGCCCACCCGCGCTGGTAGACAGCGTGCACGGTCCGGTCTACAATCCGGCCCATCGCGTCTGGACGGGGCAGGACCAGGCGAACCTCTCCTCCATCCAGGGGTCGCTCTCGCTGGCAGTTGCCGGCCTTGTTGTCTTCGCGAAGACGTCTCATGAGGCCTGGACCATCCTTGAG